AACTGCGCCCTCTTTCCGGTAGATCGAGGTCTCGTCCAGTTGTGGATCTCCAAAGGTCTACCACAGGAGCGTCTGGTCAACCTCACCCACGTTCGTCTGTAAGCTGGTAGATGACAGTTTGTTTTATCTCTTCCTGTATACAATTCTCAGCTTTATGCCCATTCATTTCATTAAAGCGGTTCCATCTGCCTCGTTAGCTTTACTTTTCCCTTTCTATTCTAGACATTATGTCACCTGATTCCGAGTCTAGCCAACATACTACTTATTATAATGTATTACTTATACTCTTTTTGCCTCATTTCTTCCATATAGAAGATGATTTAATCTATACAAACAAACAGTAAGTAGACTGAAGAGAGGCTTGTCTTCTGCATCGACGCGGAGTCATCCGTTTGCCAGACAGAGGAAGCCAAAAATGCAGAAACGATAACACTTTCTGGAGAAACAAACACCACGTTTGCCCTATCCTATTTCCTCAAATTAGCCCCAGAGGCGAACTCCTGTCAACAGCCCTGGCGGATTTCAAGACCACATGCAGGCCGATGAATGTTTCTTACATTTTCTCCTTTTCCTTCAAAGCGACCCAAAGCTTGCCGTCTTCACGCTTCTTCTCTACCCTCTTGTGTCGTCTCCTGCCCCGTTCTCGCCACATGCACTTCACACATTTCCCTCCCTCTCGCTTCACAGTCCGGAGGGAGGTACTCGAGTGGCTGAGGCGGCCGGAATCCTGTTGCCGAACAGCAATCGTGTGCGCCACGGGGCCAGATTGCGTGTCACCTGCGAACGAGGCTACCAGTTGGCTGAGTACCACATGGAGGAGCCAGAGTGCAGGAACGGCTCGTTCACCAAAATCAGCCGATGTATTCCAGGTCGGCAGAGGGGTGATGCGTCCTCTTGGGGTGTATATGGTGTATAGGGTGTGTGCGGTGTATGAAGGAGCAAACGAAAGACCATATGTTGAATGCATGAATGCAATATGGGACCGATTCGGCAGGTTGACGAGTCAGGCCGAAGTCAAAGACAAAATATTTTTTGCTCAGGCTGCTGTGGAGACCTTAATTTTGTATGAAAGTGCATGATGAGAGAGATTCGTAGCCAGTTCCTTCCAACGTCCATCCTCGTTTCGGACCAAAGCCAACTGAGCTTTGGTCCGTCATTTCTGCCAAAGCTTCAAGTTAACTCTAGGTCAAGAAGACTGTCCGACTATATATACTCATCATATATATACCATCATGATATAAAGATATAGATTGATATTGAATGATTTGGTCAGCTCTCTTTCATATCAATCAGAGTATTTATTCTCAAGTATGTCTATCTCTGTATACGTACGCATGTAAATGTCTGTAATGCTGTAAGTCAGAGAACGAGATATTGGTCATTACTCGGAGTAATAACAAAAAGAGACTAATCACCCAAAGGAAAGCATGGCAGAGATTGCGTATTATATGCGAAGAAAAGTTGAATTTTAGGGAATCTCTTGGTTCATAATTATTGAGCTTTCTTTCATTTCGAGTAAAAGTGTTTGATAAAATGATTTGAAGATCAATCACGCCAGTTGCCGATTAGCTCTACCGGAACCGCCTTTTTGACGCTGTTTCCGAGGAAATCTCCTTTAGGTCGGGAGAAAACGAACAATATCAGAGCGGGCTATCATCCCTACAATTATATTTACGTAAACAATTCAAGAAAACTCGTAAATATGCTAACACATGAAGGCACATAAACATACCCAGACGGTCACACTCACATGCTTCGCGGTTGAAATGACCTTGAATGACCTAGAAATGATCAAATTAATTTATATCATATCAAATGGCCTATATTTAGGGTATATGTACAGCATTTATGGATCATTTGATGAGTTTTGTTGACCCATTGACTTGAATATGGCTGTAAGGATGCTATCCTGCCCTGATGATTTCCGTCATATGACAGACGAAAGTTTGGCACGTTTTTATCGAAATTGACGGAGATTGCCTCGGAAGCAGCGTCAAAATAAAATTTCGGTAAAGCTAACAGACGACAAATTAAGAGGAATCTGTCGTCTTCTTCTTATGGGATCGACCTTCGAATCTCTTCATCAAACACTATAATTCGAAATGGAAGTAGGCGCAACAGAGATTGCATAAGCCCGAAAGTAACTCTGGTTTGGTTGATGAGATGTAGGCTTGTATGCATGTAAGTCATGCTACGAAACCACCAATCATATCCTGTCAGTCTAGGGTCGTTAAGGTTTTCTGCCATAAGGAAAGCACAGCTAGGATTCCGTAATATTGTACGTCTGTTTGGGTTACCAAATGTAATAGAACTATTGTATGAATGTGAATGTGGTTAGGACCATCCTTGAGGCGGCGGAGGAGCGATAAGAGAATCTTGAGGTGGTTGACCTAATACGGCCCAGGTGCCATGCATCTGAGGCAGTTAACTGTTATCACTTACCAATTTCTTAATGTCGCTAGCCCATGCATGGGTTTTACAAAGGAGGCCCTATAGTGGTATATCAACCTCTCAGGATTCCTTTTCATAAAATTTCTACCGAGGCCAATCGACGATTTATAGTTTGTTTAGAGATCAGCTCAGAAGTAAAGATTCCGAACGACGCATCCGACTATTTACCCACAGATTCTGCCACCGGATAGAATGCTTTTTCAGTAATGCTTCATCTTGTGCCTTTTCCACCCCAAACAGCCGAGGCAACGAGGGCTAAGTGGAAGAATGCGAAATCCTCCATACTGGTCGTCCAAAGGTAAGAACGCACTGGAACTGAAGCAAAACTAATCTTAAAGATGAATAATGAGGCCGGTTTGATAGAAGATGCCTCATTTTTGTAGTTCAATAGTGGGAAAAATAGTCATACAAATCGTTGAGCCAACTTTCATTTAGAATGAAAGTGTGCAATGAATAGATCTATTACTCGTCAGACTACTTATATTATTTAAGTAGATAGTATTATTTCCACTCAATCTGACCAGCCCCCTGCCTCGGCCGGCCTCCCGACGTGCCAAACGCGATAGCTCGCTTTTTCGGCCATGCCCACCACCAACTGGCGCACTACACCTGCTCACCGGGCTTCATGTCTGTCGCCATGGAGCAGCGCCAACTACGCTCCCTGGCAGCTGGCCGTAGCCCCGGCGTCTCGACTGACCTGACCCAGTCCGGCCATAGAAGCAGAGAGGGGGGCAGCAGTAGTCCTCTTCTGGGCCAAGCACTTGCATCACGGACCGGCAGTCAGTGGAGTCCAGAGTTGGTGGACACGTTGCGCTGTCAATTCGGCCAGTGGGTGGGCAAACTGCCGGAATGCCGACCTGGTAGGTGCAAAGGTGTACAGCTCCCGTTCCGCCCGAGTGGGGCGGATGTGCCAAATTGATGCGGAGACTATTATTTTTGTGTCAAAGTGCATTATCAAGAGAGGTTCGTGGGTCGAGCTCACGAAAAGACGACGCAGGAATTTCGTTGATCACCAGCCGACCTTCAGGTTGACACAGTCCAACCTCGTTTCCTTCGTCATAGGACCCACGGTGTCGAAGCGGAAGCTTCTTCGCGCGATGTTTAGAGTCGTGGAAATACTGCTAAACGGTCTACTGCTGTTTAATCGAATAATTTTATTCTGTTCTGCACTTGTGATGCTGTGCTTATTGGGTTAGTTTCATCTTATGGGTACAAACCGTTTAGTAATTGATGGGTTTTGTATTTAATGTGTACTCGATGTGTGCATGACATGCAGCCACACACGGCCCACGAATCCTGGTTTTTAGTACCGCCCATATTTTGGACTATTAAGAAAACCTTTTTGATTTGGAGTCCGAATCTTGATCTGCTCAATCCTAGAAATACGGTGCCAAAATTAGCCTCTCTCACTCTCGTTGGCCACTTTGACAGGCTACGGTAATTGTAGCTTCTTTTCTGTAAATCCTGAAATGTTATTTTACTCAGCTTGCATTAGTATTCTTCTGTTCAACTCGTACCGGCTTAACTGTCTCCTTAATGTGTTGTTCCCCAATGCTGCCCAATATGGACAGTGCAAGGTTCCTCGATTTTTCATTTCGAAGGAGAAGTTTGCTGGAATAGACTCGTGAACCGTCCTTACCGAAAACCGAAGGAGGACTGCCATGTAGCGAAGACGCATGGAGGCCTCCTTCGGTTTCCGGTAAGGCCAATTCACGAATTCCCTCCAATCAACATTTTCCTCAAAATGACAATAGTAGTAACACTAAACCATTAAAGAAGCCTTCGAAACCCACAAGTTCAAATTGTATATCCCACATTAGAGATTATTCCGTACCTGACTGTCAAAGACAATGATTTTATTAACTTGATGCACTCATATTTTCGTTGAGTAAAACTCCTTTTGGTCAGTATAGCAAATTGCGTCCAAAAGAGAATTCGGAATGAAAGTTACAGCCTCTCTTGCGGGCAAAGCTATCCAATTGTCACG